CATTTGTAGAAAGTTAAATTACAGAATGGGGGAAAAAAAGGACTTCTTTTTTTTTTTTTTTTTTTTTTTAATGTCTATCCAGAGACAATCACAATAAGCAGGTGGTACATTATACTGCTGGATGGTCAATGAAAGTAAATTAGCTGCTTCAGTTGATAGAAAAGAAATGCTGGTCCGATCAGCTTAAATAAAGGTGACATGTTATTTGTGAAATAATGTGAATACCAAAATGTCTTTTAATCCCAAAGTTTGTTTGTGTGTATGTACATTTTGTGTGTGCTTTATATTATAGATTTTATAACATTTAATCTTCTAGACTAAAATAATGGGTGAATTTATTAGAAAGCAGAACTCATTACAGGGAGAGATTTATTATTTGCTTCATGTCAGAATAGATCTTGTTCAGATGTGCCCATCGATGGGACGATGTAATTTGTTCATCATAGTAACAATACGTTAAAGGAAACAGTGGGACACAGATATTTTGTACTTAAGCATTTTTCCCTTTTATAAGGAGAATGATATGAGAAAGAAATAATAGGGTATCTTCTACAATCTAAGGGCTAACTGAAATAAATTAGTAGATTTGTTAGATCCGAATTAAAAATTAAGACATAAGTGGGCTAGTAAAAAATTATTTTAGAATAATTGTTAGCACTGCGATGACACACGTTTTGGAGCAGATCAATTTGGACCAATTTTCTTTATGTTAATGTTTTAAATTTTTTGCAATACATCATCATTTGGTATTGTTCTTTCTGAAAACTGACAGCCATTTGCCAGTAACAATCTATCTTATGCCTATTTCAGGAGGCAGTTAGTTTTTTAATGTTTACATTTGTCCCTTAGGCTGTATAATCTAGACTCTTGCTTCAGCTAATGTAGATACACAGCATAATAACGTCTTTTACAGTGTCATTTTGGTATACAGAGAGGAGTTTGCTTAGGTTTTCTATGCTATTCTAAAACCTAAGAATGCTACAGGATATACCTTCAATAATTCACTACACATACTACTAAACTGGATGCAATAACTATATAATTTTTTTCCAGCCTATTGTGTCATAGTAGACACAAAGATATGTACTCTTGGTTATGCTTAAAATCAAAAGCTCGTCATAGATTTCTCATTCTTTATTTTTCCTTGGAATCATCCCTGTCTTTGTAGGAGGCTCTCAAGATATGTGTTCTTTGAACTTCCAGTGCTGTGATATTTTGCTTTTACCCCATGCTGGTCTTCTGAGCATCCTTTAAGAAGGTTTCTGTGATCCAAAGTGAAGTTCCAAGTTCAAATTAATTAAAATATCTCATTAT